TATCAATTTCTATATTTTTTCTTGTAACGATTTAACAAAATAAAACCTTATACAGGGAATGGCCAAATGGTTCGATTCGAACCATTTTAAATGACGTCCATCCTTCAACCAAAGAAAAGCAGTGTAGCTATTTTTATCAAAATATCTCTAAAATGGCAACCTATAGATTGAACGGACAGACAACGTACGGTCGATGAGACGATGAGTCAAGTTCTTATGGATGTTGCGTACATCCGCACAAAATTAATATGCCCGTCTGTCACAAGTGGTATAGGGTATAATGATTCAAAAACATTTTTCATTACGTAATTCTCTTCTTAATTTACAAGATTTGCAAAATTACAAATTCACATGGATTAGGGGGAAAAAGAAGAATGGATGAAACGACGCCAAGAAAGAATGGAGAAAGGGTAAATGAGACCGACAAACAAAACAGGAAACCTAGGAACGACCGGATGGAACGTCAAAGTGACTGTTGACCGATCCTTTATATAGATATATAGTTTACAGCGCCATTTCTGATTGTTAAAAATAGCATAAAAGTCATTCTCATCCGTTTTCCATTACTCCGAGAATGAGTACAAAAATTCAACCACAATCTCCACAAACAATAAAATTAACCATCCCGTGCAGTTGTTTTGTTAGTGGACAATAGAATGCTCCGCGAACGCAGAAATAAAAATAAACTGAAAAACAAAAAAATTCTCTGTAAGACTCGTACAGCCATTGTTTGCCAATGGGAGCATTGAACTCCTTTTCACGCATTATATTACAGTAATAACGAACTTCCTTAATTGTACTGTCAGCGTAGGAAAGCAATTCTTCTACAATAGTTTGCAACGACAAGCAATGTGTGATTTTTTCATTGAATTATTTTTAAAATTTAATAATTATTGAATGCTCGGAAAATTTGTACGCTTGCTATAAAAAGTGGTTTTAAATATATTTAGTTATGAAATGATTGTTGTCCGTCTTTATAACCTACAATATTCGTGAGAGAAAGGCTTAGATAGATTCATTTTTTTTTTTTTTATTTATTATTATACCAATTGATCTAGAACCAGCTTATCTGTCCTCCTTGTTTTTTTTTCTTTCAACCTAAAAGACGCAAGTTTTGAACCATTTTGAAGAAAATTGATACATCGGCGCATGCTTTAGCCCAAGAACGAACGCTATTAAAAATGGTTCGGATCGCACTAGCTTTTCGACATCGCCTTATGTTTGAAAGCCTTTATGTGAAGTATGGCGTATCTAATGGCAAGACCTGGCAGACTGAACTGTTTTTACTTCTGAATGATGAAATTTGAACGATTAAAATTCCAAAAAGGTTATTCCATTTTAGAGATGGTATATGTCTTAATAAATAATTTTTTTAAAATAATTTTTCAACTTTGAAAAGATTACTTGGTTACACAAGTTACAAGATTTCCAAAATCTGATTACAAATTGAAACTGAACGCGATTTACGAAATTTATGAAATGTCTTCGCATTTCAACCCGAAAGAATGTGTGTTTTTGTAATTGACTAGTACCTTGTTTTAAACAATTCCTTATTCTCTTCTTTATTCTCTTGCTATCACGTAGACTTACTTACCATGATAATGCCTTATGCATGAAAGGTCACGAAAAATACACATATGGTGTGCAAACATTACTATGTGGGAAAGACGTAACGCGACCTAGAAGATCTGTTGTGCCCTTAGCCCTCCTGTTTTAGTATTTTTACGAACCCCGCCACCTTTTTTGGATCGGAGCCGTGTCCGGCGTAGTAATATACTCGCCAAACACTTGGTGTATAATTCTACAGTTGGCCTAACATTTACATAAAATATAACGGGACGTTTCAATCGTCCTTTGGCAGAATCTGCATGAATCGGTATCTAACACACCCATGTTTCTCAAATGTTACCTGAGGGAATTATGACCCGTGTAGAAGCCGGTGACTAAACATAAGTTAGTTTTTCTTAGTTTCAGTAGTTTGTTTGCCCTACAGGAAGATTTTATGAATCGTTTTGCTTGCCGTTGTCCTGCACATTCCATCGGCAATCCGATGCTCCCATTGCGATACCAGCCTGTTAATGTAACTTCTTAGTAGGTCACAGTCCCTCGAGCTGCACTGTTAGCAAGACAGTCAGCCCTTTCGTTCCCCTCAACACCCGAATGTCCAGGCACCCAAACTAGGTGCAAATCATTGTGCCTGCCTAGCTTATTCACTGTTTGAAGGCACTCCAACATCAGCCGGGATATTGTTATTCGCCCCCTTAGGGACTTTAAGGCGGCTTAGCTGTCGAAGATCCGTTCTCTTCTGCACTGCCTTCTTAAGCATTCAGATGCACATGCAGTGATTGCATAGACTTCTGCTTAGAATGTGTATCTTCGATACGGCCTTCTGGGAACTCGGTCTACAAACCCCAATCCTAGATTTGCGTTTTCCAATTTTGAACAGTCGGCGTACCATTTCTATGATTTTATACCGGGTTCAAAAGCTTGCCTGTTCCAACCAGTTCTCGGCGGTGTGATTATCCTGAACCGGTGGCACAGTGTTAGCTTACAGCACAATCGTCCGGTAGCTTGATAAAAAGTTTCTCCACGAGCTTTTCCAATATCTCTAGGCGTCCCCTGAGATTACTCAGTTTTAATCGGACGAAATTCGACAGTCTAAGTGCGCTCAGGCAAACCTCTTTTTCTATAGAAATAGAAAGAGGTGTCGTTCCCAGCAGCGCCCTTAGGTCATTCAAGGAACAGGATCTTTCCGTAATACCAATGCACGCGAGGTGTCCAAACATATAGACACCTTATATGAACAAAAATATTTATCATAAAAAGCAAGCCAAAACTAGATATAGATGCCATAGAAAACCTTATGTTTGAAGAAAACGTTCATTATAATGGAGGGACTTGAAAATATGATCAGATAGGATCCAAGTTTTCCATATTCATTTCATCTACCAATACATTATTTTACGCAAACTTTTGTCGAAAATTGTTCCTGTAATGACTCCTTTGAAACAAGACGCACTTTGTATTTTTAACTGCCACTGAGCGAGTCTGTCTAACACGAAAACAGTTTTTCTTATTAATTGCACTCATATGAATTTAATTCTTATACACATAATGCCACAAATTAAATAAACGGAGTAAAACCTTCTAAGATGTGCAGAAATTCACTGTTATCTTACACTTGCAACATTGAAGAATATGCCAGAATGTAACGTTACCTGGGAGCTGTAATATCCTAAGAGGTGGAAAAATCCTACGGCAGGTGGGGACTGTTACGTTCTAAGAAATGCGACAATCCATTGTTACCTGATAGCTGTAACTTTCTAAGAGGTGCAAGAATCCACAACTATCTAGGACTGTACTAGAATCCAGGATGAAGTGAAATGGTGTCAGACATATCTTCAGCTTTCCCATCCTACAAAGTTTTGTCATGTGTTTAACGACGGTTTAAAAATGAACTAATAGAGGGGTTCTATAGAGCCTGCTGCTGCCAACTTCAAATATAAATTGAAATTATAACTTTACATATAGGCATAAATAAATATGTCAGTTTTATTCGACCTTGCAAACACCTATCATAAACAAGATCCAAGTAAATCGCCTTTCGTTCTTTAGTTCGCATGACAGAGAGGCCGTCAACATCATTTCTAAAACTTGCTACTTTTCAAACTTCGAACAAACGAATGGCCAGGAAAAAGCTAAAGCAAACACTGTTAAGTATTTCAAGTAACACCAAACTTTCGTCTGGCGTCCACAATAAGTCAGTACGACGGAGCATACATTGGCTCTTCTGGACTGGCAAACTGATTATGTGAGAACTGAAAAATATATATTTAATGTGTACGAATACACGAATTGGGCAATTGGTATGTACACATAATGGATTATGTGTATGATATGAAATAGCAAATGTACGGACTTGTTTGTATAGACATAAATTATTTCAACCATACAATTTCTTTTAAAGAAAACACTCTTTAAATTTCGAAACTAGGGGAATCGCTTATGTAAACCTAAAGCAAATACATGCATTCTTCCTGCCTTTTCAAACTAAAAAAGATTCAAACACAAGCTAAATGTAAGAAATTTCAATGCAGAATGATGGATACCATAAAATGGGAAGGATTATTTACGGCACCCCGTCACCATGGCCATAAATGATTACATGAATGCATGCAAAGAAAACAAACTATTTTCGTAAGCCTGCATATGCATACATGTAGCTGTGCACTCCTATAAATTCCTTTAATGAAACGAAACCGGGCTAGTAGTGAACGAGAACAGAAAAGCAAAATCACCATTAAATACCCTATACACAAAAAGTTTCCAAAATCAGGCTTTACATGCGAAATGATCGAAAGAGTGTTGCGAACAGAAGCACAACACGTCTTTGGCCAAAACACGTCGACCAAAACACCCAACTTCATCAAAGTATCTCGAAAATTGCGACCTGTAGGGTACGCACGAGAATACAAGACGGACCAACGGACAGATAACGTTAAATCGAAAAAAAAATACCGAATCGATCCGTATGATGAAACGTGGTCGATCCCAAATCCTTCGGAGCGTTGCATATGTACCCACAATCTCAACACGCCCTTGTACCAAACATGGTAAAGAGCATAACAAGAAAAAAAGTTTCGTTTAATACCAGCTTCTCGTAGTATTATTAATAACGTTCTCCTTAACTCGCAAAGGTAACGTAATCGAAATTCTATTCATATTCTTTGCTATTTACCATTTCTTTTCCTATCAAGAAATCACTGTTTAACCTTAGGAAGCAAATAAAAAACTTTCATTGCTTGCTTTGTCAGCCGATAGGAAGCAATTTAAAAGCATAACTCCGTTGGAATTGTTGATTTCGGTATGAAAAATTTTTTAAATTCTTGATATTTATAAACGAAAAATAAGACGTCTCTGCCATATGCTACAACACTTGTAGGACTTGAATAAGGCCACCTTTTTATGGACAAAAATTTGATTGGGTTTTGCTCACTTACCTCTAATTCCGATAAAAGATCCTTTTTCTCCACTTCAGATGCATTCTCTTTTAACATTTTCACTGCCACCATCGTAATGCCTTCATGTCCTACAAAACAAAACAATAAATAAAGCGTAAGACGCCTTCAGTTCACATAAGTTTCTAATCGTTTTACTTTTTTAATAAAACTATTTTCAGTTTTATCAAAAAAGCAATTGCTTTAAATCAATTTATTGATTTTATCCTATCATAGAATTTTTATGATATTTTCAAAAACATATTATTGCAAATTTCATACATGAACAAAGCCAAATGCATCGAAAAAAAAAAATAAAGCTCTTATAACAAAAGACAATTTATGTATTTGAAATACGTAGATTCAAGATTTATTTTTGTCCGCTTGAAAAAGGGTAGTTAGTTAGCTTTTAACGATCTATAAAAGCGCTTCTCTAGTCTTGACTAGTCTGTCCACCTCCTAATAAGGTACACAGGTTACTTACATAGGTTACATACACTGTCATTTTAGATATCGCGGCACTTTTGAATTATCACTGCTATGACATATGACAACTTCTCAAGGTCTTCCGATATAGATCAATATATATTCGTAGAGTAAATAGTGAATAATCTCTACAAAAATATTAATGAAAATTATTCAAAGCGATGAGTTTCTTCATCATATATTTGGTCACGCACGTAAGCAAACAAAACACCGCTGTCGCTACTAGCTCCGAAAAGCCAAGGGAAATACCCGAACGAACTCTTCAACCTCAACAAGTAATGGTTTTTATTTGGACCGCATCTCTTCCCAAAATGGTGCTAGTTCGACGATCTTTTGATCAGACGTTGATATTATAGGTGTAGATGATATTTAGTTCGATAGTGACGGTGCCATTTACTACACTGTTCGCAGAACAATGACGAAATCTGTGAAAAGGACTACATACTTATAAAGAAGTAAATTGCATATCTACTCGACCTGAACGCAAGAGATTCTTTTCGAGTATTTTTATAGCGACTTCAATTGCATGTATCTGCTAAACCAATTATTCGCCATTACTTGTACTTTTATCTACTATTACACTTATAGGTATGGCTCTGTATATGGTGAGCTGCCGTCGGTGGCCATATATTGCACGTAACCTTTGGAGAGTATTTCATATTCAAGTATATATATATATATATATATATATATATAGGTATGCAAGTCTCGAATGTATTTGCAATAAACTCTTCATATACATGCATATAATACATAATATGAATCGACATGTTTATGTGTGCATATTTGTATGTAAATGTGTGCTTTTAAGAAAACTTAAATCTAAGACTACATATAGCTTCGCACATAGAAGCATTTATAGAATAACGTTATAGCCGCAAAAATTGAGGAGCAGAAAGAAAAACAAAAAAAAAATGTATTTTCCTCTATGCATACAAATATATATACATATATACGTATGTATAAAAGTAAAGCTAAGCAAAGCGCAACAACAAAGTAAGCAAGAAAGGTTTGTTATATCATGATATTGCATCTGACCAGTATTGGAAAACTATCTGTAGGAATGTCTTTTATCCGCCTTTTCTTGTCGTTTTTTTTTCCTTCTTTTTTGTTTCGCCCTACCACAAACAACTATCTATGACAATGGTTGCCTGCATAAATATGTATGAGCGTAGGTAAGCGAAAACATTTCAATGTTGTTTTTCTCTCTCAGCACCTTTACGGTATTGTTTGATATTACATTCGAATTTTTGTGCATTATTCCCTTTAAACAGTATTTTTGTGTTTATCCATTTTACCTTTTTAATGGGCACATACACAACACATTTGGTGGCATTGGAGAGGCGAGAGAGAACAAACAAAAAAAAAAACAAAAACGAAGTAAAGCAACTTTCAGTTCGCAGCAAGGCAAGTATTGCACATATAAGCGGCTAACAAAAAAAAAAAAAAACAAAAAGAAACAAAAAAAAAGACCAAAAACAAACAAGCAAACAAAAATAGCTATTGTTATATGCACATAAAGATAAAAATTGTAGAGCTATAGAACTATGGAGATCTACATGGAAACAGTGGCGTCAGCTAAGACATTTATTGGTTTTGTAATCTTTTTCAAAAAACACTTCATGAACATCTCTGATTTGTAGTTATGTAGTGATTCAGTATATATAGCAGTTCTATATAGCAGTTCTCGTTGTGAGACATTATCCTTGCACATCGCACGTTTCTGGCATCAATGTTTTCCAAGTTAAGTACATTTTAGTAATTCCTCGAAGCAATGACAATTTCTCTATGCATTTCTTTCTATTGCCCTCCTCACTCAACCTTCGCATTTCTATTTTAAATACATTCGGGCCAACCAATAATGATACCGAATATCCTTTAGAGAATATTCCCTGGCTTTTGTATGTTATTGCTCTTGCTGTGTTACTCAATCCTGATGCATTGCTATTCAGGTCGACTCACTGACTTAATACACCGTATTCGTATTTTGTTGGTCAAGCGCTATACGTAAAGGTAAACGCAAGCATGGCAGGCAAACTAGTTGCGTTGTGGTTGCTATGCTAATGTTGATTATTGTTCACTGTGTTTTGGGTATGTATGGTTCCATGGCATGGAGTATGTGTGTCTAAAGTAGTGTCAGTGAACCACAGTTCCTACTCTCGTGTTCATTGAATTTGTTCTCGTAGAAAGGAAAAAAAAAACCCACAATTTGTAACATTTAAATTCTTTTTCGCTTTTCTTTCGCATGCTATTCAATGACTTTTTTTTCTTTTTTTTTTTTTTTTTTGTTTGGGTCGAAGGCATTGAATTTAACTGACTGCATATTACTGTTATTGTCTCTTGTGCTCTTCTTTGGTGCATTTTCTATGAAAAGATGAATAAATTTCAAATATTTTCTCTGGATTTAAAAGCTTTACATGAAAACTTAAAGCAAAGAAAATCATAATAAACGAAAGCAAAATCTCGTAAGATTATTTGCAGCATGTGATTATTGCTTTGCATCTCCTCCGTTCAATATTCAACTCTGCGCATACTAATAGTGGACTGTGATAGCGTGTGAAAGCACTAGTCTAAAAGAAGAAAGTAGTGGACAAAAGGACATCTGTTCTGTCAGAACAGATTATATAGAATAGCGACTGTCCTCATTCGGAATCGTGTGTAACGCAACGAAAACCCGCCGGTCAGGATAGGGAAAAAGACGCGAGGATAGTGCCTAACAGAACAACGAGCCCAAACTCCCGCGGAAAGATTGGTGATCAAATTTTGACGGGACATACCCCGAAATAAAAGAGACAAATTCCATGAAGACGTCCAACCAATTTCACAGATCTCATACCCTCTCTCATGTAGTGCACATACATATCTGAAGTTAAGGATTTTTTATATTTTCAACATCAGTTGCAATAACCAATTGCCTTACCAATACAAGGAAAAATATTTTTCCACAACGAAGAAATTAGGCTTCGTGCCAATTAGACAGCATTTGCGGAAAGTCTTGTTTTCTTAGTTTAACGTGGGGAAAATGCATGAAAAGCACGTTGTTTGCTTGAGGAGGCCTACGGCCAACGTGCACCATCGCACCTGTGCACCTATAAAGGGTTAATCAAGTGAAACATCAACATCGACGATATAGCCGAATAGCTTAGGAAAGAAAACAATACACTCCACCATCGCATTTCCGGACACCACAGACCTGGTTCCTTCGGATTACCATTTTGCTTCAATCGATGGTCCAAGGTGTGACTGGGCTCCACTTGGATGATTTCCAAGATGTATAAAATTGGTTGGACGAATGGTTCGGGTCCAAAGACGCATCATTTTGTTGTTCCGGATCAAAAATCCGGAAGCTTAGTCGCTCACCCAACAAATCCGTGGCTGGGTAAATTGTCGTCTGTTTTTATTTCGTATAATGGAATAGCCAAGCTTGGATTTGCCGTGTAAAGCTCCAAAAAAGAGCTGCCGCATTCTTCAAAGACCGGCACGGGTAAGTACGTGTTCAAGGAAATTTGCAACTGAACACTATTATTTAAAGAACGGCAGCTGTGTTCGCTTGGGGTTCGTCAGAGCTTAATGAAGGATAAGAACGGGGAAACAACGGTGAAATTATTAATTCAGATAGAAATGGGAATGATGCAAACACGTTGGAGTAATCTTTAGTTAAACGGCACTTCGGTCTGTATAGAAAGCTTTTTCTTTTAACTTGTCGCCCCTAGCGAATAACCCATTGTGTCGAACTACTAAAAGACCCCGGAACCTCAGAGAGAATTCAATTTTGCTCTTATTGCTGCCTGCCATGCAGATCCCCCAAGATATTTAAGCACAAATTTTACAAATCAAGGAAAGACGAAAAGCAACTGAAGAGGCCTTCAAGCCTAGAAGTCAATCTTCTACGTACTATGACCGTTAAGGGTGTACAGGGAATTTTAAATCCATAGAAGTCTTCAGAAATTGCGTTGAAATGTTCGTTGGACACAAATGAATTTTTCTCTGAAAGGTTTTCGAAGCGAAACAACGAAATCACATGAAATTGATATGACGCAAAAACTTTGAACTCTGAATGGAAAACACTTTTCTATGCAAAATTTTGACCACTTCCAGTCGATATCAAATAAAGTGTTGCTTGATGTTGTCTCCATGATATATATATATATATACATATATCTATATATATGTACGCACTTGATAAATATATCAACAACTAACCACTAGAGTGGTCAAAACTTTATGACAAATAAATGCTTAAAATTACTTATTTTGCATATGCATTAAATATATATAATACACCTGCTGCTATAAAAGCAGCTTTAATTGTATTTTATTTATTATATATAAAATATTAAACCAATATTAATGGAAATTTTCAAAGACCACAGATAATTTTATAACCAATAATCAGCCTCATTGTGAGCTCATAGAAATATTTATACATGAATAAGAGCATGTGTGTGTGTGTGTGTGTGTGTGTGTGTGTGTGTGTGTGTGTGCTAATGCATTCATATGCATTCATATGCGTAAGTATGCAAATGTATGTACGCTTTTTAACCTTCTTAACATTTGCATAACTAAAATAATTGAAATTTATAACCTTTAAAAGCCAACTGTCAGT